TCTAGGGAAGCACCAGCCCCTGAGAGGCAGGGAGGTTCCAGCCTCTTTCTGTGGACCGCGTGTGTGCTGTGGACTCTGGCCCTGCGGTCCTGTCCCTCAGTTCCCCATCCAGCTTAGGGAGATTAAGCTCCTTTCACGCCGACTGTCAGAAGAGGGCTGATAGAAAGGTCTGCACAGCGCCTTTCATCTCTGATGTGCTGATGGCGGTGGCGGGCGAGTGGCTGGCTGGGAAGATGGCTGGTGCAGACCAGAGCTCTTCACAGTTCAAAGAAATTGCCAACATCAAAGCAGACCTGCTACAGAATGCATCCACCACTTAGGGTAGACATTGCTTGACTTGAGGTAAGCGTACTTTCAATCGAACGTTCTCGAGAGTCCCAAGTTCAGGACCAAACTCCGTCCTTCTCTTCCACTCTCGCTGGAGGTGGCTCCTGCCTGTCAGAGGGCAAGTCAGCCTGGCCGGGTGATTTCCAAGTGAAAAGGCCCCAAGCATGAGGGACCATTACCAGTGCTGTCCTCGGCACACCCAGGTGAGGAGACTACTGGGTACCCTCAGCTGGAGGGTGACCTGAAGCGGGCTGCAGGCCAGCAGCACGTTCCAGAATGTTCCTTTAGCCAGGGCTAATGCCGTCCTTTCAGGGCTCAGCACGCCTGACCTTCCCCACTCGGTGACCACCAGCTAAGTTCTCCCTCCCTCTACAGATGCCATTTCCATACAAGGGGAAATGAGGTCACTTCCCCCAATACAGTCACCTCAGCCCCTCCTGGGCCTCACATCCTTCAGCAACTTCTTGCTGCTCTCAGAGTAAAAGCCAAGATCTTGGTCGTGTCCAACAAGCTCTTAGACATCTGCTTTGGGAAAGTTTATTCAGCTCTCTGCGTAAGTTGCCTCCCTTTCATCTCCATGAAGACCCACTCCGCCCCAGGACTTCTGAACAGGAGGCATCCCACTCCTGGAACGTTCCTTCCCACTCCCTCACCCGGTTTGTTCTTGCTCAGCTGTGTCATTTCCTATAACTACCAAGCCTTCAGGGAAATGTTCCCTGAGCAGTCTGTCACCTCCGTCCGAATGAGGTAGGGGTGTCTACGCTGCACCATGGGATGACACCGTGCCCCTCTGCTTCATGTCACATGCTGTCCCATCTGACGTCTTCTCTTGCTTCCGTGTCACCTGCTGCTTTGTGTCTGGTTTTATTGTTTGTGGTTATCATAACCTGACAGTCGGGCAAAGTGGGTGTGTGAGGGGCCTCCGTCACTCCCCGAGATCGGCAGACACGCCTAGAAATCACCGGCTTCAGGGTGTTCTCACTGTTTTGGGGACCATTCTTTCCTTCACATGATTATCACTCTAAACCAGGTAGTGTTTGCCCAGCAATGAGGCATAAAGCACTAGGGCCAATCGCCAGGCGGTGGTGGCACACACCTTTGATCCCAGCACTCGGGAGGCAGAGGCAGGCAGATCTCTGTTCTCTGCGAGTTCAAGGTCAGCCTGATCTACAGAGTTCTGGTACACCCAGGAAGTGTCACACAGAGACACCCTGTCTTGGAAAACCAAATGAAAACAACAGCAAAAGCACTAGGACCAAAACACTCAGCTGAAGCAATACTAGAGGCAATGTGGATCTTAGCTCAGGGTTTCAGGGTTTCGGAGGGTTTTAGTCTAGCACAGCAGGGAAAGGTGACAGCAGGGTCATGTGACCAATATTCACACCGCAGCAGAGCAGGCCGTAGAAGAGGAGCATCAGAGGAACTGGTGTAATCTTCAAAGACACACCTTCAGTTTCCCATTTCCTCCATCTCCCCCACCTTTTAAAAGCCTCCCCCAAATCATGCCATCCCCTGGGGTGCTAATATTAAACCCATGAGCCCATGGGAGATGTTTCAGATCAAACCATGACACAAGGTCTCCATCTGGGTTTACACCAACACTGGGTGTTGGCATACTGTAGCTTGTGGAGACCTTGGCACACAGTTCCAGCGATAAACTTCAGATAGAAGAGCACTGTACAGACAGTTCAGGCGAACTGAACCAGGTGACAACAGGGTACCAGGTCCTCAGCACCGAACTCTGCAGGGCACTGGGTCATCAGCACCAAACTCTGCAGAGACTGTCAGCCCACCGGAGGTAAACTAAGCAGGTGAGAGTGCCCAAAGAGTAAGACATTACAGAAGCAGCTGCTGCAGGGACAAGGGGACCCAAAGAGCCCTGCACTCTGGGGTCAGACACCAGACAAGCGTTTTCTGAGCAGGACCCAGCAGGAAGCTGGAAGGTGGGTTGAGGTTTGAAAAGGCTGACTCAGGCCCATGAGAAGAGGAAGTGAACATCCTAGAGATCAGAACAAATTAATCCCGTGAGCCTCCTGTTCTACATCTGCAAAACAGGTGACGCTTGCTCTGTCCCATGGGACACCATGAGGTCTTACTGTCCCAGGTTACTAAAACCTGGTGCCCTTGCAGCTGCGACCTACCTCTTGCTGTAGGGAGAGCCTTACCAGGGTTTGACTCAAGGACCCCCCGAGCTTCTGAGCCCCAGACCTGGCCCCTTCCTGCTTGCTCAAGATCAGAGGCACCAGAAGGATTTGTGAAGGACACTCGGTGTCTGGGCCTCAGTGGATGGTTGGAAAAGCCAAAGACATGTCATTACAGTCAGGGTGCAGTGAAACTCCACAAGCAAAACAGCAAGTTGGGGAGGAAAGGGTTTATGTGGCTCACACACTGCTGTCACTGAACGAAGTCAGGACAGGAAGTCAAGCAAGGCAGGAACCTGGAGGGAGGAGCTGATGCAGAGACCATGGAGGGTGCTGCTCACTGACTTGCTTCCCGTGGCTTGCTCAGCCTGCTTTCTGATAGAACCCGGGACCACCAGCCCAGGGATCGCACCGCCTGCGATGGGTTGGGCCCACCCCCATTGATCACTAAATGAGAAAATGGTCACAGCTGGATCTCAAGAAAACATTTCCTCACCTGAGGCTCCTTCCTCGCTGATGACTCGAGCTTGTGTCAAGCTGACACACAAAACCAGCCAGTACAACAATGTGGCGGTTTGAAAGAAACGGCCCCCAATGGGAGTGGCACTGTTAGGATGTGTGGCCTTGTTGGAGTGGGCGTGGTCTTGTTGGAGGACCCATGTCACTGTGGAGGTGAGCTTTGAGGTCTCCTATATATTCAAGCCACGCCCCGTGAGAAAGTGCCTTTCTCATTGCCCGTGCAAGACCGTAGGACTCTCAGCTCCTTCTCCAGAACCGTGTTGGCCAGCACACCTCCGTGTCCCACCGTGATGGTAATGGACTAAACCTCTGAAAATGTAAGTCACCCCACTTAAACGTTTTTCCTTTATAAGAGTTGCTGGGGTCATGGTGTCTCTTCACAGCCATAGAAACCCTAACTAAGACACTTGCCAATCCAATCATCACCAAAGTCGGGTTGCTTTCTTACTTAGGGGGAGGACTGTGTTTCCACTTACAAAACTCGGTCTGAACTCAGCCAGGGTTTAGGCCACAGGAGGCACTGGGTCTGTGTTATCCTCTGCACAGATCGCAGGGTCCCATCTCCCAGCTGTCTTTGATATTTCCTCTGTCGGTAGCTTCCGGGAGCAAACGCATATGAGTGTGGAGCCCCCTCATGCAATGCCCTTTGCTCCCAGCCTTGACGCAAAGGTTTCTGTTTGCAGCTCCCTGTTGTTGAAACATGAGCATTCAAGGTCACCCTTCTCCAGATGTGTCCTTGGTGAACGTATGCGCGTTCAGACACCCGAATGTCTGCCTCCATCTGTGGAGATAAACCTGACTGCTGAGGGCAAAGATACATTTTTGTTTTCTTTCTTTTTCATTTTTTTAACAGTATCTATTAGAAAAAAACAATTACTGCATGTAAATGTGTTTGACATTTGTCAGGGTATCAGCGGCAAAGCACGTGGTAGCGATCAATTAAAACCCACGTCTCTCATTTCAGAGCCCCAAAAGAAAATAAGGTAATTTTGAGAGGAACAAAGGGTATTTATTGATCCTAAGTCCTGCAGTAATGGCTGTAGTCCCTTCTGTTTTCTGGGCACCCACTTTGGGCCAATCATCCTGCCGGCCGCAGCTCAACTCAGCTCCTGCTGCAGGATGGAGACCTGCCTGGTTCCCAGCTCAGCTTCGTGCATGGCTCAGCTCCTGGTGGCCCATGGCTGTTCCCTACTGTGCCTACCACATAACCTGGTGTCTTCAGTGTCAGCGGTGAACAGAGCACCCCAAGTAATTAAATACATGGTCAGACATGGGGCCTTAGGTTAAATTCCCTTTGGTACTCTCTCCCTGCCCTTCATATTCAGCTTTTAGCCTTTAAACAACACTGTATCTCATTGAGAAACAGAATGTGTGGTTCCTTTTGCAGACATCTGGCATGTTGTTTCTAGGGACTGGGGCGAGTGGGCCAGGCTCCCTAACTGTCCCCCACGATTTTCAAAGCCTCATTCAAGAATCTGGTTGGGGGTGAGACCTTGGGGGAATGTTCTTTTGGTAGTCAGAGTACCAGCCCCTCCAACAAGCTGTGGTCCCTGGTCCTTCTGTCTAGGTGGCACAGGAAAGGGCCTGTGTGGTCACAAGTGCATTGCCAACCATTGTCCTCCTTGAGGCTCTGGTGGAACAAACCAACCACAGACTATAAGATCTTTACCAGAAGACCCTGCACAGAGAGAGGGAGGAAACTGTCGTGGTGAGGTATGAACAGAGGGCACATGCCGATGGCCTGTGGTGTGGCCCCTATCCTGCTCCCCAACTGAAGAACAGCCTTTCCTGAGCTAGCAAGAGAGCTCAGCAGCCACGCCTGACAGCCTGAGTTCAGTACCCAGAATCCACATGGAGGAAGGAGAAAACCAACTCCCATCTACAAGTTGTCCTTTGACCTACACACACACACACACACACACACACACACACACACACACACACACACACCTTGGCACATGCCCAGCCCCCACCCCACATAAATCTACAAATGAAAGTTTAAAAAAAATACGCATTAAAAAAAAAAAAAACTACCCCCGAGCCTCCTCTGAGCTGCATTTATTTTAGCCACTCCACAGCCAAAGAGGAAGGCATCCTGGAAGGAGTGTGGCTGCCCGCACCAAGCCCAGGGTCCAGTTCTTAAGGGGCAAAGGCATCCACACCCAGACCCTATGCACGCAGGAGCTCATAGGAGGGACAGCGTATAATCCAGACACGAAACCGGATGTGGTGTGAGCCAGTCACAGTACGGAGAGACACAAAGCGGCCAGCTCAAACAGGATCACAGCGACAGCTGCAGATGGAAACTGCATGGCTTACTTCCTCACTGCTGTGACAAAACCCTACAGAACAACGTAAAGAGAAAGGGATTAAGGAGTTACTCTCAGTTCCTGAAGGGGGAGCACAGTCTACAGAGGTAGGAAGATAAGGTCAGTCCCTAAATGTCAGACTCTTGTGACCTGAGCCTTGCTTCTCTTTCAGAAACACAGGCATCCCTGGCCCCGAATGTCTTGGGCTGGACTCTGTCTCGCCATCAAATATTTCAGAAGGGCAAAGAGGGCACAACAGGGACATTCCGTGGTCAGGGAAGTCTGACGTCGCCCGTTAATGTTGGGGTGCAGGAGAGCAGACCCATGACTGCAGCAATGACTCCTGGGAAATCCACTGTGAACGGAGAGCGAGGTCTCTCCCTCACACGGTCCCTCAGCGCATGCCATGCCATGCCACGAGAGGGGCTACGTGTAGGTTTTCAAAGACCCCTGATCACCAGAGCAAACCAGAAAGCAAGCTCTCACTGCAAACTGGGTCTCAGTGGCTCCCAGATCTGGTGTCTGCTGTGTCCCCGCCCTGTCATGGTTGACTCTCCTGGCCTGTGATTTAGGAGTTCAGCCCTATGAATTTCCAAGACAGATGCAGCCTTCTGCTCGCCAAGAGCCAGATGGGTTTTTTTTTTAATCGACTCATCCTGCACAGAGCATAATTAGAGGCAGAAACAGCAGTCGCCAGGGGCGTTTAGCTAGGCTTGGAGGAGAAAAGAACCTCGGACCCCCCCAACCCCACCCCCACCCCGAAAGTGGGGCGCCATGGAGGTGGCTGTCTCCTCCTCAACATCAGCAGTGCCTGCTCTGGGTCATGGACAGTGGGCAGGGAGGTAAGGCTGAAGTCCAGTGAGGGACTCTGGGTGGGCTGTGCCCTGAGTCAAAGGCCAAGCTCAGCCACCCGCTTTGCCAACCATGCCCGAAACTTCCCAATCCCTGCCCACGAGGAACGAGTGAAGACCACTCTGACCCTTCCTCTACAGGGAACCTTTTGTCACTGTTAGTATTCAGGCATCTGTGCTGGCCTGCCCTTGGGGTTCTGACAGGATACGCCCTCAGCTGCAGCCACTAAGAGAGCATCACCTCTGCTTCAACCCTGTCACATGGGGTCTTTCTCTCCTGTGCCACTTTTCTTAAATTACATCAGACACCACCTTGGATGATGGTTCTTTTTTGTTGTTGTTTTTTGGGGTTTTTTTGTTTTTTGTTTTCAAGGCAGGATTTCTCTGTATTGTTTTGCAGGCTGTCTTGGAACTCGCTCTGTAGATCAGAATGGTCTTGAACTCACAGAGATCCGCCTGCCTCTGCCTCCCGAGTGCTAGGATTAAAGGCATGTGCCACCAGTGCCCATCTTGGATGATGGTTCTAAGACGCTCTCCACAGAACCACTCTGCCTAGGCAGTGGAGGGTCACCATGAAAGGCTCCCCAGTCTCCCTGCTTTTTAAAAGGAAAAAAATCTGATCTTTTTCCCTCCCTTTACACTCTGAACTGCAATGAGGTAGTTTAGGGCTGATCGGGAGCTTCATTAGCAATCAGGTGACACAGGCCCATAATCCCACTGTTCAGAAGGTTGGGGCAGGAGGAGCTCAAGTTCCAGGCCATCCCCGGGCTACAGAGTGAGCTCAAGGCCAGCCGCCCTAGCTCCTAAGTAAGCCCAGCCTGGGCAACTTAGCAAGACCACGACTCAACATTGGAAAGTAAAATAGAGGATAAGGGTACTGTCCTGGTTTGCTCTCTGCTGCTGTGATATAACTCTGAACAAAAATCAAGATGAGAGGAAAGGGTTTGTTTCGCTCCACACTGCCAGGTAACCGTCTGTCCACAGCTTTCTCCGTGGGGAAACTGTGACAGAGTGAAAACCAAGGGAATAGACCCTGGAGTGACAGGTGTGTCTGACGGAAACTGTGTGACAAGGTTGCCCCCCACCCCTGATCCACCAGCTACAGTGACTTTCATCATCTGCCTCTCCACAGTCACCTTAACTCCAGGCTGGAAGGCTGTGTAGACGTCTCCCAGCTGCTTTTAAAGCTGCCTTATCGTTCTAAGAAGGCATCATACGTAATTACATTTAATAGACACAGAATTGATTGAAACACTTAGCTGGAACAAAAAAGCCCAGACCTAATTTTGTAAACATGTTATTGTACAGTAACCCCCAATGAGTTTGTGCTTAAATCTCCTAATTAATTTTTAATTAAAAAGCTCAAGGATGCTATTACACTTGTTGTAAATGGCAGCCCCATGCAAGCAGAAACCACGGAGCAATGCAGACGAATATCTCCCATTAAAATCTGCGGTAATGAGAACGGCTGTGCTCTGTATTTCGGAGACAGAAATGGAGGAGAAAACGCCATTTAAGAGAAGGTTGGAGAAGCTTCCTCAGCTTTTCTCCCTCTTTCCTAACTTGCAGAGGTATGTGTACATCGGGCGGCTCGTGATGGGCTCATATGCGACAAGCTGTCCAAACCTTTATTCCAACAGATCTCTCTTCAACCCTTTCCAATATCCAGCTAAATGTATCTGGTGCCTTTAGTAGAAAATTATATTTAATACGGTCACAAGCCAAAGAAGGCATCCACTTCGTCCAGTGATAAATTCCATTGTCATACTCAAACACTACCCAGTGTTGAATTAAATAAAGTTCCCCCCTTACACACACACACACACACACACACACACACACACACACACACCTGCCTAGCGCCTTATTCTGTCCTCGCTGATCTATTATCTCTGTCTATCTGTCCAGGCTTGCAAGAATTCTTTTGAATTGCAGTAATTGAAACTTTGTGTGTCTCTGGGGATGTGGGTGATGTCACCAGTGGAGAACTATTAATAGCACCAGACACAGCAAGAGTCTCTGTCTCGATGAAATATCTCAATAATAGGAGGGAGAGCATCGTGGAGAAGGACCATATCACTCTCTTCAACCATAACTCAGCCAGGGTGAGAACATGGATAGACGAGGTGTCCTTGGCCTGCATGGCTGCTGGGTAGATAAGCCCTTCCAAGGACTGTGATTCAGAGGTCACTGGCTGTTTACCGCTGTGCTTTCTAATTAAAAGGGGGTGCCCACTGCCTCTGACAGTAGGAGGGGTGTGGTCTGTGATTAGGTACCTGCTTCTCCTTCTCCAGTGTTCTGAAGTAAGGCTCTGACTCTGTCCACACATCCTGCACTGAGGTTTTCCCTGAAAACTCATCTCTGTTCATTCAGCCTTCATGGCCTTCCCCTCTGTGGCAGAGTCTCAGCCTTGACCTTGAATCACTGCCCATCCTATGGCCTCCTAAGATCCATGGAAAATGGAGAAGTGTGCTTGGCTGCTCCTCCCTCAGCGCCAGCAGCGGCCCCTTCCCAGCTGTGATAGCCAAAAATGTCTCCTAACACTGCCATATCCTCCCCTGGGAAGAGAGAGAGAGAAAAAAAACTGCAGTTTCAAACCGTGGCTGCAGGTTAAACAAAGATGGATGCTCAAGGAGAAACACCCAGAGAGCCAGGATGTGGCAACAAATCTGTTGCCCCTCCACGCCACGTCCTTCATGAAGGTTTCAGGTTTACTCGGGCAGTCAGGGAGACAGTGTGGTGAGTGTGTGTGCACATGCGTGTGCACTAGGACACCAGGACACCAGGATACCAGCGGGTGTTTGTGTAAGGGGCAGGAAGGGAATGCACGACTGTGAGATAGTCAGACACACTCAAGGTTCATCCAGGGCCCTAGCTTATGCCCAGACTCTCAGGAAGACCTTCATCTGACTGCTCTTCAGAGATGACGTGTTTGGGGTTGCTAGCACTGCTTTTGCGACAGGCAGGGTAGGTTACACATGTGCCTGGAATGGGGGCACCGGAAGGAAGAAGCCTGGTCCTGAGCACCCCTGGTCCATGCAGACTGAGGTATAGAGAGACAGTCACTGAGGGGTGGAACCCACGTCCTCAGACCCCTTTTGTACTAGCGGGATATAGGACACAGCCAGCACACGCTTGTTTTATAGAAACACAGGGCAAATTCATTTGAGGAGGGAGAAGATTTTTTTTTCCTTCTGATAAATGGAGCATTTATTTTCATTTCTGCTTTTCCTGATATTGGACGCTTGGAGTTTCCCTAGCAAGAACAGAGTGGAACCAGGCACGGGCGTATCTGGGCAAAGGATTGCCTGGCCAGAGATAAGCTGGGGAACTGAACTATGCGCAGGCTGGACCACACCAGGTCTGGCTATCACCTGAGCCTCAGCTTTCCCAGGGAAGTAGATAACCTCCAGGGCAAGCCAGGTCCACACTTCAGGTCAACTGTGTTTTAGTAAGAGAACCAACAGCAGTTTAATGGGGCTACGGTAGGATCCCCGGCTGCCTCACTCTGCTGCTGGAAAAGCAAGCCTGCTCTCCCAGCTCCACGGCTCCCCACAGCTCTCATCCTTCCCCATACAGTTCTCGCCAAAGAGTCCCTATTTTTAGCAACTTCTACAGGGCCACCCAGAGGCAAATATTGCATGGGACCCACAGCATTCCTGCTGTGATAATCCACACCTGAGCCGCCGAGGAAAGCTAACCTTTGTGTGAAGGAGCTGGTAAGTAGACTGCTGTGGGTGCAATTTGGAAGAGGCAGCATCAGCCCCACTTGGCTGCTTTTCAAGCATCTTGAAGCCTTTTAGAAGCATCCGACAATTGCCATGGTAATTGCAACTCACCTCCTCCACTCTGGAAAGGGCCCTAAGGTCTTCCTCCAGGGGAGACAGCAGCTTGATGAAGGCCCTTGTGTACCAGCTCTCCTGTAAAGTCCTTCAATCTGGTTCCTGTTTCCAAACAGACAAACCCAACCTTGGTCAGTCACGATCACTGCCAAATTTCATCTCTTCTGAAAAGAAAATGAAAATCAACAGGAAATAAGGAGACCACTGTCCTGAATTCCTACCTCCTTCTCAAACGTGCCTCTCATTGTCTGGGGTTAACTTCCTCCTCCGGCCAGGGCAGGTGTTCGCTGTGTGTCCTGGTACCCAGTTCCCCTGGCTCCCTTGCTCTCTGTCTCTTGGGACTGCCTTGAAGTCACCAGGGCCTGAGTTATCTAGGTCACTGCAAAGCTGCTTTCCTGGGATTCGAGCCTTAGCTCTGAGCGTGCATCGAGCACAGCAGCAACTCCGAAGGGGCTGAGTTTCTCCAGACCATGTGTAGCCGCCCCGTCTGCTTAAACGCTCACTATTTTGCTCTCCGGTACCCTTGATGCTGTGACTGTTTGCCTGTGGTTGTCTGTCTGGATTTTGTTTTTTGAAACGGGGTCTTGAATCGAAGATTCCCCCGCCTTCTGTCTCCCCGTGTGCTGGTTTTAAGGACATGGGCCACACTGTGCTGGGGTTCTCGAGAGTAAAATTCACTGTTGTTACCCTCTCCCTTCTGACTGCATGTCGTTACCTGTCAGTGCTCTGGGGGCATCTCATCCTTGTCTCCAAGGAATCTCTTTTCCCTGGGGAGGTTGTCATCAAACCCAGTGTCCTGGTTTCTGGTACCACAGCAATTCTAATAAACCTCTAACTTTCTCCATTAGATTCAAATCTCAATACCACGTGGCTATAAAATGACATCGAGATTCTTAACTCTTTGCTCTCCAGGCCTTCTGTGAGAAATGGTGGGCCAAGTTTCTAATGAATTCCAATGAATCTCTCTCTCTCTCTCTCTCTCTCTCTCTCTCTCTCTCTCTCTCTCTCTCTCTCTCTCTCTGTGTGTGTGTGTCTATGTGTGTGTCTGTCTCTCTGTGTCTCTGTCTCTGTCTCTCAGGTCACTTACAGAGATCTTGTTTGAACGGTCACTGATGACACAATCAGATTGTGCTAAATTCAGACTCATCAAGTGCTCCTTGTCACTCGTGTGCCACACGGCTGGGGTATCCGGGTGACGACAGGGCCCAGCTACTAACGCTCTTGCTCTCCGCCCAGATCTCAGTCTGACTCATCAGCCCAGTGACCTGGGAAAGGAAGGCCCACACACGTGTCAGGTGCCTGCTGCACCCTGTGCTGAGCCTCCGACATGGGATGTCCATGATCCTCCCTGCAGCCCAGCCACAGATGAAGGACTGGGACCCAGAGGCTCTCGGGACCTGACCCAGGAGACCAGAGCTGGGAACCTGACCAGCCTTGGGTGCTCCTGTCCCCCTCCCAGCTCCCCCTGAGGCTCGTTTTGCACATCTTGAAGAAGCATAGACAATCTTCACCACTCTTCCTAAAAACACACACACGGGTAGGTACTGAATTCACCTTTCTGGCAAACCCATGGAAGGTGTGTCTGTCCGCAACTCCCCTTCATACACAAGCCCCTGGAACTAAGGAGGGGATGCCGTGGCACAGCCCACACCCCAGAGGTATGGGGCTGGAACCCTTCCTGCAGTGAAGCTCCACAGGGTCCCACCTCCACAGTGTCCTCTCTAAATGACTCCATAATGACCTAGAGGATGTGTCCTTAGCCAGCTGGCTCCTGCCTCTTTTCAACTGTCCTTGGACCTCAGGGAAATCAGAAATAGCCGTTCCTCGGAAAAGGCTGCAGCCCCTGCAGCAAGGGTGCGGTGAAGGGTGCGGACACTCAGAGCTAATGAACCGGAGGCAGACAAATCGGGTCTCCTTTTCTGTCTGTCCATGGTGACCTCCAGGAGTTTTCATGGCTGGGGATAATTGATTTGTGAGCCCTGGGATTAGATGCGGGCTATTCTGTACAGTGAGGGCGAGCCTGCAGAGGGGGGGAAAGGAGGAGTTTTCTGTGTTTTCTGCTGAGCGGCCTTAGAATAAATAAGATGCAGCAGAGTAATGAAGTCCGGACAGCTTTCGTCTTGGACGGCCAGAGTCATTACGCAGGAATAATTCATGGCCTGGTGCTGTCGGCCCTGCCTATGTTCTGCTTGGCTGTCAGATGCTATGAAACCAGGCTCCTTGTGAGCCCTCATGCGTGCCCAGGCACTGGGTTTGCTTAGACCCTTGGAATTCTAAGACTTTACCAATCGTCACTATCCACCTTAACCGGCTTATGGTCTGTAGGTACCACCAGAAAGGCAGCTACCGGGACTCAGCCCCTCCAACCCTAAGACATGTCAACTAAGCTTATGTCAACAGAACCTCCCCTCAACTCCACACCCTGCACACTCTTCCCAGGAAGCTTGCCCTCTCTGTGATTCGTGGGTGCAGGAAGGAGCTCTCAGCTCCAGGAAGCTTGCCCTCTCTGTGATTCGTGGGTGCAGGAAGGAGCTCTCAGCTCGTGTTGAGCAGGAATGGTCTGCAGGCTGGGTTAACTAAGGTCGCCTCATCAGCCTCTAGCAGCTGCTGGCAAGCCTCAGAGTGGGAAGACATCTCCAGGAGACATCTACCCTGTTCCTGGTTAGAGGGTCAGCACTCTGTGTCCCCCGAAAGTAGGAGCAGAGGTGCAGCGAGTCCAGAGGCACCTTCCCTGTCCCCTATGCACTCTGGGAGGCGGCGGCCTTTAAGAATGACTGTGAGAGCCAGGCGTTGGTGGCGCACGCCTTTAATCCCAGCACTCGGGAGGCAGAGGCAGGCAGATCTCTGTGAGTTCGAGGCTGGCCTGGTCTACAAGAGCTAGTTCCAGGACAGCCTCCAAAGCCACAGAGAAACCCTGTCTCGAAAAAACAAAACAAAACAAAAAGTTAAATAAAGAATGACTGTGAATGGTCGTCCAGCCAACTGCCACCTGTGCCTGGGTCGTGAATCTGTGAAAGGGCTTTTCTCTTCCCAGGGATCAGGTTCCAAGTGCGGTCCTCACGGAAGCCCTTTGATGTCCTGGTGCCTGGAACCCTCCATAGGGAGCGACCTCAGAGACTCTGGACCAAACGCCACAGGGAGTGAGGAGCCCTGTTCTGCATGTGCAGCTTCCGTGCATGTGGGCAGGTGCTGGTTTGTATATGCTTTTTGTGGTGCTTTTGTTTTATTTCCATTTGGGAGTGTGTGTGTAAGCGTGTAGGTATACATGTGCCAAGGCACACATAGAGGTCAGAGGACAGCTTAAGAGAATTGGTTCTCTCCTTCTATCCATGCTGGTTCAGGGATCAAACTCACACTGTGTGGGGCTTGGTGGCAAACATCTTTACCCTCTCAGGTACCTCTCCAACTCTGGCCACGGCCAGGTCTGATGTGATCAGATTTGATGGCCACTCAGACAGAATTCCAGGGATCCATGATAACCTGCCCATGAGGGCCTCCCAGAGCTGATTGACCCAACCTAGTCATTGGTGTCACTCTGGGTTCACAGGACCACCTAGCCATTTGCTGGCCAAGCTAAAAACGCCCGTGCCTCGACAAACTCACTCAGTCCTCAGAGAAAACAGAAGCCCTGCTCCCCTGAGTGGAGAAGAAAGGAAGGATTTCTGAACAGCCAAAAAAACATCCTCCCGGTAAGCACCCAGCAGCTACTTGCCTTCTTTGTATTTGTAGGTGGGAACTGTAGGCGCAGAGAGACAGATGATGTTGCCTAAGGCCACAGAGGTGGCAAACGGGAGGTCTGTGTGATCATTAGTCTGGAACTTCTTGTAGTTTATCACACCAGTGACCTTTCTCTGCACGATTTTAAATCCTACTAATGCAGCCGACAAAGACTGGCATGGAGATGCTAGACCCTTTCAGAGTCTCCCATGGATAAGTGGCCTTCTGAAATTACCCTGTCCCGCAGAGGGATGCGGTCTTTGGAAAGTGTGGGAGCTCCAGGGCGGGAGCCCCTAAGAGGTGCCTGCTCTTTGGGAGACAATGGCTTGTACCAAGGTTGGTCAAAGAGCGAAGGGTACAGAGGTCCTGGGACAGGTACTCAGGACATGCTTGATGTCCCGGGGCAGCTTGCTGGGACATGGCTGGCCACAGAAACGGCAAGTGTCCTTTGTCACAAAGCACGGGGAAACCAGGGCCTATGCAGCCTTTGTGCCCACAGCCTGTGTCTCTTGCCAGTTTCCAGACTATGACATGAGGCTCCCATACATTTCTTTGTCATCCTGAGAGTGGGACAGTGGGACACTGCTTCTTGGGAGTCCCCCCCAAGGCCCTTTGCACACACCCAAAACCCAGATTGATAGCCACACTGCTGAGTTAAGAATGTCCCCCAAAGCTGACTCATTTGTCATTCACAGTCTCTCAGAGATGTCTTGGTGTGACTTCAAAAATAAATGACACCTGTGCCGTGCCAGAATTCTAAAGGGAACCCCTGATGTTGTGGCTGTCACAATGTCACACCGTGAGAGCCTATGCCAGGACCAAGACAGCCTTCTAAAGAGACTGTGGTGCTCACAGCCTACTCTTCCCTTACTGGACCTCACCACCCACCACGCTCCCCTCTCCACGGGGCCAGATAAGAGCCTCTGCTCCACTCCATCTCCCCTGAAGGCAGAGTGGGTGTCTATTGAGCACCTACTGCATGCCAGGCCACTGGCTATGCCCTGAGATGCATAGATGAACAAATAGGAGGGGACATGTCCGCCCATGCCAGAGCCCTCAGAAGACAGAATGCGGGTCACACCGGACCAGGGACAGTCTCGCAGAGGAGCCTGGCCAGGTGAAATACCAAAGTGACAGGGAAAGGCACCCTCCTGCTTAGGCAAGGCCAGTAGATGTGGGAGACCTGGTAGAATTAACAGTGGGGGGGGAGTAAAGGGATGCAGCCGCCCCCGCAGGAGCTGGAGCCCACCCCAGTGAACTCAGATCCACCATTCATACTCAGCGGGAGGATGCAGGGAACCCAGACTGCGCACGGGTCAAGGCCTCTGGGGGTGCACAGCCCTCTCCGTCCTGGGGTGTGTGCACACGTGTGAGCACCGGAGGCCAGAGGATGACATAGTAGGTCTAGGTCACCTTGTTTGAAACATGATTTCCTTGTTGTCTTTCTGCTGTGGACGCCAGGCTAGCTCGGCTGGCCTGTGAGCTGCAGAGCCCCTCTGGTCCCCACCATTGGCGTGCTGGGGTCACAGAAGCGTGTGCCATGGGTGGGTTCAGGGCGTGGTGGGCTCTGAGGGTCTGAACTCGGGTCCCCACTCTTGCGCAGCAAGGGCCCGTACCATGCCCCCCCCCCCACATCCTGGAGTCCTTACTTAAATTCTGAGTGTCAGTTTACAGCAGCCATTTCCTGGACTCCCCAACTTCATTCCGAATGTGCCACTGTATCAATCTCCCAGGGATCCCGATAAACAGGGACTCGTAATAAGTTGGAACCTATCAGTCAGAGCCAGGTGGAGGCAGAGCCAGGCAGGTCTCTGTGAGTTCAAGGCCAGTGTAGTTTACTGAGCATGCTCCTGGACAAGCTTCAAAGCTACACAGAGAAACCCTGCCTCAAAAAACAAAACAAGCAAGCAAACAACAACAACAATAAAACCCTGTCAGTCAGTGTCAGTCAGAGGACTTGGGAGAAACTGGGGGTGGGGTCCTTGGGGTCCCTTACTCTATCTTATCCTTTTCCCAGGACACAGATTCAAGGAAAGATGAGCCCTTCCTACATGCAAGAGTCAGATCTCTCAGAGATTGGAAAGATAAGCAGGCAGCTATCTAGAGTCTCCGTCTACCTATGCCAGACAGCCCTGCACCAGCCTGGGATGAGGGAGGTCAGACAGCCCTGCACCAGCCTGGGATGAGGGAGGTCAGACAGCCCTGCACCAGCCTGGGATGAGGGAGGTCAGACAGCCCTGCACCAGCCTGGGATGAGGGAGGTCAGACAGCCCTGCACCAGCCTGGGATGAGGGAGGCCAGACAGCCCTGCACCAGCCTGGGATGAGGGAGGTCAGACAGCCCTGCACCAGCCTGGGATGAGGGAGGTCAGAGAGACCTGCACCAGCCTGGGATGAGGGAGGTCAGACAGCCCTGCACCAGCCTGGGAAGATGGACGCTCACAGGTAAAAGAAGCTGGCCACTTTCTTGGCTTAGAGGGCAGCTAAGAGCTAAGAAGAGAAGACGACAGACTCAGTCACTTCAGACACTGGCAGCCAGAACCAGGTCAGCCGCCTGCTGCTGGATGGGCACCTTCCAAGACAGACAGAGAGAAGCAAGATGGAGTCAGCAGGAAGGCCTGTGAGCAGACGAGGACATGAAACCCTGGAGGAGGGTGAGACTGTAGCACGCTCAGCCACACACAGCAGTGACAGCAGCCAGGAGTGGCCACCTGCTCCAAGACCACCAGTGGGCCAGGAAGCACGGGGCAGGCTTCAAATCCTCGATCCTCACCAAGACACAGGAAAGATCAGCAGACATCTGCAGTCGGATGAGCTAAGGGGCCCCTTAGCTCCCAGACATCGCGTCTCTCATAGAAGGCGGGCAGCTCTCAATCCTGCCACAGCCTGTGCCCATGGCTCTGCTCTCAGCGGGGAGCTTCTCTACCTCGGAGTGAGTGGCATGGGGCTGGAGGGTCCTAGATAGGGACACTTTGCTGTTGGTGTAGAATAATCAATAGCACTCCCAGCCTCCCCATGGATGCCAGTAGCTCCCACCGGGTGTCACAACCCAAAAGTGTCCCCATGTTTGCTGGGATCCTGTCAGAAGCGGGGCAAGGGGGCAGCTGAGAGCCCCAGGGAGTGCTAGAGGCCAGGAAGGCACAGCAGTGTGGAGCAGTGTCACGCCGTGGGACAGAAAAGAGTGTGCGTAAATGGCAGGCAGAACATGGCCAAAGCCGGAGAATAAACACAGAGAACAGAGAGAGACAGACCGGCTACCACAGCAGCTTAGCCACGGCGGGTGCTTACTTAATAGGCACACGTGCTTATAAATATCTGTGGCCCTGTTGTCTTGGGCTATGCTCTCTGGAGGAGAGGTGGTAAGTAGTGTCTACGTGGATTTGTTACAGCCGAGGCTAAGAGCAAGCAGCAGCTCAATAAATAACCCTGGTAGCAGTAGAGACCGACACAGTTGGAACAGACTGTGGGACACGGTGCTCCAAGGCCATCTTCCGCAATCCCACCGCGGGCTCTCCCTCTCACTCCTCACAGGCAGGCCCTGGCACACCCTCAGGTAGAGAACCCATCTCCAGAGTCCCTGGCTTCCTTACCAGATGGAGCCTGGGTATGTGAACACGAAAAAGGTCCCTAACAAGCTCACAGCCTGAGCCGTCGATGAAGCTTGGCCAGTATGCAGTTCCTTGGCCAGTATGCAGTTCCTTTAGGGCAGAGGTCCATACCCACCTTCCCGAAGCCCAAAGCACAGGAACCACAGAACCAATGCTTTCAGGGAGATTCCCGATGCTTGGCAAACCACCCAAGGAAATGAACTTGTAAGGAGGAACGGTTTGCTCTGGCTTCTAGTCTCAGGGCTTCTGATCTGCAGGTACCTTGCTGTGTTGGCTTTGAGCTGGTGGCGAGGCAGCTTGTTTTTTGTTTTTGTTTTGTTTTTTTGTTTTGTTTTGTTTTACGAGACAAGGTTTCTCTGTATTGTTTTCAAGGCTGTCGGTCCGGCCTGGCCTCGAACTCACAGAGATCCGCCTGCCACTGCCTCCCGAGTGTTGGGATTAAAGGCGTGCGCCACCACCGCCCGGCCGGCAGCTTGTCATAGTACACAGGGGAAACCCCTTCTCCAGGTAGACAAGAAGCTGAGAGAGGGAAGCAGTTGAGGGGTTGAGCGCCCCTCAAGGGCAGGTTCCCAAGGACCCGGTGTTCTCTGCAGACTCCTGGGCCCAAAACTCATTCCCCTCCAGGCAATGCTATTTGTGCAGGACTGGAGACTTAAGGGATGATCTAACCAGTTTGCGCTGTATTTCTTCAACAATGGTGCAGCTTTTGTTTCTGGGAACACCCACTGGGACTCAGAGCTCTTTATTCCTGCCACTGAGTCTGGTGACCAGAATTTCCTCCTGGTGCTGAGACCACACATGCACAAGCTGCTGCTTAAACTAGAGAATTCTGAGTCGGTGGAGTCACTGCGAGAAGTGTTTAGAACCTTCTCCTACCGCATGAAAGACAACGAAGCCGGCAGAGTTTCCATGTGTGTACATCAACCGGTTCTCCAGTGAAGAAGACATAACCAATAACATCGAGAGTCAGTGTCTCAAGCAGGATGACGGATTGTCGGGGGCTGTTAGGAAATATGCATGGGGAGGAGGTCTGCTGGGGGGAGGGGTATGAACTGGGCATCTCTGGGTGGACTACCGTGGTGCAGAGATCGGGGGATGCTTGCACTGCTACTGCTGTTAAGTCAGGGCAAGTGAGCCCAGATGACTACTCTGCCGTCCTACCCCTATTATTTTTCTGTGTTACCAGTTTAGTTGGGGAGCAGGAGTGTGAGTTAATAACTGCCTCTTCACAGGGCGGGAGGGTGAGCACCAGGACGGATTACTAAGAACGTATTGAATTACCTGTGGGTGGGAGCTAAGCCCGTGAATAATGATTCAGGCTCCCACCCCAGGTCCAGGCCCCTTCCAGGCCTGCATGCTGTGTCAGCTATGGGTGAGGAGGGTCCGTGGGAGGCAGCGTACACCCTAAGTCTCCCCATTTTCCAGGAGGTGAGTGCTTCCTGGAACTCTCCCCGTCCTGAATCGGCCTTGCCGTCTTTCTGCTTCCCGGTGGAACACAGTGAATTGCCCTGGACAGTAATCAGTAATGAAGCCGTTAAATGCAAGAGGGGTGGAGAGAGCTGTCTGCCAGCCTCCTCCATTACATTCAGGGACATTGGCACATTCTCTAATTAAGATCCGGAGGCTTGGGTTCCAACTGCCGAAGCCTTCCATTCCCACGA